CTTCCCACTCTCACTCTCACAAATGTTATTTTGTCCCTAAGTGACCTGGCACTGTGGCAATTTTCTTGGGACTCTAAGAAATCAAGCCTAAGGACTCAACTAATTACTGAGGATGGCAGAGAAGAAATAATAAGAAAGCCTGTGTTCTTGACAGCACCATTGAGCCAGCACAGACAGGGGGAAGGCATATGGGCCATAAGCCTAAAGTTTTGGTGGAAGACACAGCCCTATCAGGAAAACAATGATGCTATTTGAAATTCCAGAGAGCGCAAATTCTAAGGTTCATTCCCTCCACAAAGAGTTGGACTGTGTTTCAGGACTGGTTCTAGGTGACAAGGAAGCAGCAGGGAACAGTACCTATACCTTGCCATTCTGCAGCTTAAATTCTAGGTTAAACAAACAGAAGGTTGAAAATGATGCAAGAAAATATAAAATATGTCAAATAGTGAAAAGTGCTACGCAGAAAAATTAAATGTGGTCAGAGAAACAGGAAGGGCTGGGAAGGTGGCCTCTAAGTGGGGCCCATTTGAAGCAAAGGTTTGAAGGAAAGAGGAAGGTTTGAGGGCAGAGGAAGTCAGTTCCAGGAAGAGGAAATGGGCAGCTGCAGTGGCCCTTAGGTGTTTGACCCATTTGCAGAAAGGCAAAAGCAGCCAGAGAAGAGCAAGTTAGGCCAAATTAACAGGAAGTGACGAGAAGCAAGGCAGGAAAAATATTGTAGAGTCTGGCGGGCCCCTGGGTGGATTTTGCCTTTTGCTCCGAGTAAGTCCGAGTAAGTGGGGAGGCTTTTTGGGCAGAGTGACACCATCTGATTTATGCTTTAAAGAATAAGTCTGTCGGCAGGTATTTAGCTCAGTGGAGCCTCCGCCTGCCTTGCAAACCCCAACTCCCAAGCTGGATCCCTGGTACCAAAAAAAGAGAGAGAGAGAATAAGTCTGTCTGTCCATTGAGAAGAGAGTGAGGAGCACAAAGGTAGAAGAAGCAGACAGATGTCTGGAAAGCTGAGAGGCAATGACAAATCCAACCAGAATGGCTGAAGTGCTTGGACATTGACTCCAGAGCTTTTAGCCTGAACACGAGTATGAATTGAGTTGTCATTCTCTGATATGGAGGAGAGTGTGAAAAGAGGAGCTTTGGAAGAAGAAACCAGGAGTTTGGTTTTGGACTGCTTTTCTTCTTAGGCAGCCAAGAACAGACTGTTGGCTGTACTAGCAAGGAGTTCAGGAAAGAGGCTGGAGGTGAAGTTATTGGTTTAAACTTTGGTGGGAGGATTACAAATCTGAGGCCAACCGGGCAATTTAGACCCTGTCCCAAAATTTAAAAGGCTGGAGGTATATGTAGTTCAGGGCTTTCAATCTCAAGTACTTCGAGGGTGGGGGGCAATATATAGGTATTTAAGGTCATGATAAAGCATGAGTCGCCTGGGAAGTGAAGGTAGAAGGAGAAAAGCTCTAAGGACAGCCCAATATTCAGACACTGGAAGAGACTAGTATAGGAGTGCGAGGAGGAACAGCAAGGGAATCGTGACCAGAGCGCGTGAAGAGAGGCTGAAGTGAACGCGGGGCCACCACGCTGACCACCAGATCGAGCGGGTTGGAACTTGTGGATGACGCCAATAAGGACTCCGTCAGCAATAGCAGCTGATCTAGGCAAAGAGTCACAGGAAGTAGAGTGAAACCTTGAAAATGCCTCCTTGCCTCGGAGGACTGTACAATTCCAACTTTACTCATAGGGTGATGAAAGCCTAACACAGAATGGGTCATTGAAAGGAGAGTAAGGAGCTCTGCTTGTACCATTTACTCTGAGCAGCTGTGCTCTTTGGAGCTTTTGCTTCTGGGAGGCATGTGAATGGAATGACCCATTTCTCTGTCCCAGGGTCAGAAACCTTTGAAAAGACAACCGTAGTAAAAAGCAACACGCAAGCTATGAGCTTAGACCTCAGAACAAGGATGTCTCTGGTACACATTCCCATCTTGTACATTCGTTTGGGACGCCCACTTAACTGAACCTTTCCAAATCTTAGTGTTCTCATCTGTAGGCGAAGACGGAGCGTGTGTCTCATGGGATTTGTTTCATGAGCACTAAGCGACTGGCATGAAGAACAGGGCTAGTGCTGTGTCACAAACGTGCAGTCGATAAATGGTGGCGGCGATGGTGATGATGACGATGGTGACGACAAAGCCTTATTTAGGCCTGAAGCGGAGGCTGCTCGCTTTCCCGAGGCAAAGTTGCAGCCACCATTGAAATGAACCTACGTGGAGAAGACACAGGCTAGGGCTGCAGTTTTCATAAAATCCTTCGAAAGACGTTTTCGTGGCTTGGACCTTGTAAGAGGCCGGGCAGGTCTCAAGGCCATATATTCCTGATATATTCCAAATTAACTTCCGCTGGCTTCCCTCATACTCTGCACTGCAGACCAAGCCGAAGCGTGCAGAAGGGTAAGGTCATAGTACACCCCGGGGATACGAGGGCACAGAACACCTTGTGCGTAGAATGTTAGCAGGCCGAGAGGAGGGTGGCGTGCGTGTGTGGCGTTGGGTGGCTTTCAGTGCGGCCTCAGCTGTGTTTTTATTCTCACTCCCACATATTTTCACTTTCCAGCCCTGCGTCCACAAGGTGTTAGTTTTGTTCTCCTTGGTCCACAAAACAGACAGCAGATACCAAATACCTGCACAATATTTTTTTGAGAGTACATTATGACTTTCTCTTTATTTTCATAGTAACGCAGACCAACCTGAAATATTTCTAGTAGAAACACTCACATTCCTCACTCTGGAATAAAATATTTAGAAATTTAGCAAATGGGTTCAACATCCCAGAACAATGTTTATGTGCAGCTATTATTAATTTCTTTTTCGTATTTAAATACATGACTTGAGTCCTGATTCTGTGATTTAAAAAAAAAAGTCTGGCTTAAAACTTTATTAACTTTAGAGCACTTTAGCTGAGAAACTCATAGGGCAATGTGGGTTTTGGATTTCAGTTTTTATATCACAGTTCACAGTCATTCAATTTATCAACGTAAAAAAAATCAAGCAAAATTGCTATTTCCCAGAAGTCGAGTAATTTCCCTAGAGGGAACATAAAATTTAATTTGTCCCTCAATTTAAAAATCTTCTAGTCCTATTTAAAAATAACCATGGAAATCCTGTTTCTTCACATGGGACTCAAGGAAAGATTTGTTTGTGCCTTGTATTTCCTGACCTTCACATCTGTGCGTCTAGTTCCTATGCTAGACACAAATAGATTCTACAACTTGCTTTAAAATTGTTGCCCTGAGTAGCCTTATCCTTATTACCATCTGGCTATATAGTAAAAATGAAAATATATTCTACTGGGGACATTGTAAATCATTCGTGCTGACTTGAAATGGTCATTTCTGGCAGAAATGACAATTCCTAAACACTTAGCTGGGAGGTTTTTTATGCCTGACTCGATTCTAACATCTCTTTATTGTCGTGATCATGGTGGAATTTCACTTAACATATTACATGGGCATGAAGAATTGTCAGGCTCAACCTGAAACAAGTGAAAATGTTTGGCACCCCAGCGACAAGCCTGTCAGTGGCAGCCCCCAGTGCCTCACCCTAGTATCCCTCCTCTTGGCTAAGCCAACTTTGAACCAACAAGAGGTAGCGAGCTCTAGGCCTCTGTTTCAGTGGCTATTCCACTAGTAACTCTTCTCTGAAAGATGGGCAGCCCTAGAAAAGTTAGTGTTTGCTCCATAAAATGTCTAGAATTTCAATGGTAATCCGGGCTAGAATTTTTTTCAAGCCATATTTGACATCTTTCATATTTTACTTAATGAAAAGAATGCATTCTACTCTACTGTCAAATCCGATTTCAAAACACTATAAATGGACTTTTCACTTAGCTGTGTCACTCTCAACTTAGAGCGAGGGAGCCTCCAGAGGCTCTTGAGTGGAAAAGGGACCGGATTTGATTTCTGGTTCAAAGGGCTGTGCAGGATGCTGTGTCTGGGATAGGATAGATGAACGAGGGCAGAAGCCGGCAGAAGAGGGAAGAGGTTGCTGCAGCAACCCACGGAGGGCTGATGGTCCAGGACGGAAGCAGGGGAGACGCCGAGAAGTGTTGGATTCTGGATGCATTTTAAGGTAGAGCCAGGAGGATTGGGTGGACAGTAAGAAAGAATGAAAGGTATTCAGGATGACTTCAAATTATGGGGAAAAGACCCAATGAGGAGAAAATATTTGTAAAATGTGTATTTGAGAAAGTTCAACCACCCAGATGCACAACATTCTTTCAACGCATGAGTAAGAAAATAATCCAGTTTTTAAAAGTTGGCAAAGGGTTTGAGTAGGCACTCTACCAACATCATTAGCTGTCGGTAGAATGCAAATCAAAATCACAAAGAGACACCACTTGCGTTCACTAAGGTACCTACAACCAAGAAGCAAAGAGTAACCACTGTCAGTGAGGAAGTGAAAAGCTTGGAGCTTTCAGTAACAGTGCTGCTGGGCAGCCAAAGTGGTCCCGCCACCTTGAAAAGCTCCGGCAGTTTCTTATAAAGTAAAGTTACCCTGATGATATCATCTGATCCACGGGCCCAAGCCTAGGTATTAATCCGAGTGAAATGAAAATAGATTTTTGCACTGAGTCTGGAATGTCAATGCTTGTAGCAGCTTTCTGTACAATAACTCAAGCTAGAAGCCTTCCAAATGTCCACAAGTTGGTGGAGGGCTAAACAGAATGCTCCATCCATGAATGTAGTGCTGCAAGGCATCACGCAGGAGTGAACTACGTGAGAGTGCGTGGGGAATCTCAAATGCACTGTGCCGGGCAGAAAAGCTAGGCGCTGTGGGGCTCCATCTAAATGAAACTCCAGAAGAATAAAGCTGTCACAGCTAAAAGGCAGACATGCTTGCTAGAGGTAATAAGCAGGGAGGTAGAAATAATTAAAACGGACACACGGGAGTCTTTGTGGGTGCTGGAATAACAATACGTCATGATTATGGGGACAGACACATGACTTTATACATTTCTCATACCTCCCTGAATTATATCCCAAAATTGGTATATAGAGATTTTACTTCAAAAGAGCTGATTTTTGCCGAGGATGTAGCTCAAGTGGTTCCACTGCCTGCCTTGCAAGCACAAGGACCTGAGTTCAATCCCTGGTACTCCCCAAAAAAGACATTTGCCCATTCATCTTGGAGAAGTGGAGTGAGGCAGAAACCCAATTTCTGGTGCCTCTTCTGTCTCTCTTAGACTAAAGCTTTCTTTCCCTTAATAAATTTTTCCTACTCTTAAAAAAAAAAAGCTGATTTTTTTTTAAGTCAATGATGAACACTAGTGCGTTTTTATTTGTGGAACCAGAACATGGTAGTTGGGATTTAATACAGAAATATACAGATGGGTCAGGCAGTGATGCAGGTTTATAATCTCAGCACTTGGGAGGCTGAGGCAGAAGAATCACTGAGCATTCAAAGCCAGCCTGGACTGCATAGCAAGGCTACACAGCAACAACAAAAACAAACTTTTTGCCAATGGCTGCTGGCACGTGTACCACGTCACCCCAGCATGGCTCCAGCACCTCCTGGGTGGCAGCATCAGGTAACAGCGCATGTAGGGGCCTCGCAGATGCTTGGAAAACAGTAGCAATGGTGACATGACTCCAGGGATGTCACGAGCACTTTGGGCTCCGGTCTCTGAAAGGTTCGCCATCACCGGCTGAAACATTCTTGAAAAAAATTGCCAGGGTGGGGACGTAGCTCATTGCTTCTACCAGCTGCCTTGCAAATGCAAAGGTCCCGAGTTCGATCCCCAGTACCAGAAAAAAAAAAAAACGTTGCCTAACTCTCTAGGCCAGTGACGGCAAACCTTTTAGAGACTGAGTGCCCAAAGTACAACCCCAAACGCACTTATTTATTGCAAAGTGCCAACACTGCAAATAAACCTGAATACTGAGGTTTTAGTTTTGAAAAAACAACTCATACATAGCATCTTTTGACTCAAAAAAAACCATATCATATGTGCCATAGGTCCACCGCCGTGCTCCAGTCCACGTCCTCCACAAATCCTGATTCAGTGATCTTTTTAAACTGAAAAGGTATGTATGATAACAATTTTTGTAAGTTGAATTTGATTTTAATAACCTCCACTTTCACTTTTATTTAATGGAATCCAATCGTTTTATTTTGCAAAGTATACTTTTGCAGTAAAATAAATGGGCTTGAAATATTTGATAGGCTTGTATTTTTGTATATGTATTAGGTTTTGTTAAATGTGGATGGACTTACAACCAATGTTCCTCTGCTTGCTGCCATAGTGAGAGTCAGAAATTCTAGGTTGTTAGTTGATTTCATACTTGACAACGATTGATGATAATTTTAATGAGACCAAGTACCATATTCTGTACACTATCTTAACCTTCCAGTAGCCTTTTGAGGTACGAATCATTATCTCCATTACGCACAGAATGAACTGGAAAATCTATGTATTGTCAGGTGACTAGCTCATGCTCACCCAAACTGTAAAGTGAAAAGTGACCCTTAGGTTTTCTGGCTCTGAATAAATGCACACTGTTCTTTCCTCGTCCAAAGCTACCTCTCCCCCTCGTCCTCAAAGCCGATGGAGGTTGTCAAGACTGACTATTCTGTATGGTGAGTCCTCGGCTTCCACTGTTATTCAGCTTATTGGGTAAGTTTAGGTCCATTTTTCATTAGACTAAATCTGCATAGAAACCCAGCAGTGTCAGGAAGGTCTGCCAGTGGATGCCAAGGAAAGCTGCTAAACCAACTGCCTTTCACTGAGGTACCCAAGGTTCATGGCCTTGGAGTAGGAAGAGAAATTAACCCATTTTCAAGGCAGAAGATCAAACATGGAAAAACCTGTGGATTCAAAATCTAGTACCAGAGGGCTGGTGTGGTGGCGCACACCTGTAATCCCAGCACTCGGAAGGCTGAGGCAGGAGGATCACTGTGAGTTCGAGACCAGCCTGGGCTACATAATGAGTTCCAGGTCAGTCTCAACTACATAGTGAGAAGCTGTCTGAAAAAAACAAAAACAAAAAAATCCAGTACCAGGTGTAGCCTCAAGTCTTTTAGTGTTTGAAGAAAGGGACTTTTCCCACCCTAAACTAAGCTATGAAAATTAACAAGAAATGTGTGTGCGACATTTGGAAACGGATCCATTGAGCTAACATTTTCAGGGTATCTGGCCTTGGTGGTTCTGCTAGATCTTGGGAATTTGGACGGAAATGAATTATTATAAATGCAGGTCTTGAAAGCAGCCCATGGTCTCATAAGGGAAGCTGGGGGCAAGCACAGGACTCCTGAATTCTGAGATAATTAATAAATATTTTTATAATAAAAAGCTGTGTTCCAGATGCCTACTAAAGCTGCATTATCGCTTTCTAATCTTTGAGGCAGATTCTGTTTCGGTTTTGTGCCGCGGGTCGAGACCCGAGAATGGCACGCGCTAAGCAGGCACTGAGCTACATCGAGGCGAGTTAGTCTTCTCCCCGCTTAACAGTCGATATAACCGAGGCTCAGAAAAGCTGGCTGCCTTGTTCAAGGCTGACCGTTTCGGGGTGGGAATTTATGTTTAAAACAGCCGCCCTCGTTCGGGCGTACTCAACCCAACTGGGATCTCCTGGGGGTTTTCTTGAGGCAGTTAGAATCAAAGATCCTGTTTGGCAGAGGGGTGCGATGGTTAACTCGACAGGCGTGGTGGTGACTGTGTCCCTTTGGTTGGACTGGGAGTCACTCAGCAGGGATTGGTGCAGCACTTTTCTGGGTGTGTGTGAGTGGGTCGTGGATGCATGATCCTGGGAATAATGTCTTTTCTCGTGCTCCTTTTTCTGCGGTGCTGCTGTGCTTTCCTGCATCCAAGAACTGACAGCTTTGCTCCTCCGAGCCTTTCCACCACGATGTTCCTGCCTTGCAGCCAGCTGCCCGTGGACTGAACCAAATCTCTCCTTCGTTAAGTTGTGGGTGTTGGGTTTTATGTCCCATAAATGGGAAATCTATGTGAAGAGTTAACTCCAAATATTCATTCCCTGCTTTCATATTGGGTTCCAGTCACTAGAGTCAAAGAGGAAGTCGGTCTGGAGTCTAATAAGATCCACAGTCATCCATGGAAGGTTCTAGCGCTCAGTCCCTCAAATGCTGCCTAAGCCAGATGTTCTTGGGGGAGGGGGTGGCTGGAGATCCAGATGTTCTGGTGCTCCATGACATACTCCTTGTTGCCTGAGCTTGTGAACATGTCAAATTATGTAAAGAAACACCACTTGCATAACAATAAAGTGCAGTGTGGCAGTACATTTCTTTATAAAAGACTAACAACATGTTCAGTTAAGTGCAGTTAAACAGAAATCTGTCGGGGCCTTCTGCACTGCAGTGGTGAGGGAACAGAGCAGGATGCGGTTCTGTGCTTCAGGAAAATCTACTGTGGCTCTAGCAGTACTCGGTGGAACGTTCTTATAAAAGCCCTATTCAACATTCATTTTAAATGTCTTGGATCATATCCTAGAAAGCAATGTTGCACTCAAGTAAAATTTTCCCACATTTAATGTTCCAAACACTTGACTGCTAGAAAACTCTATAAAGAAATTTTACTGAAAAATCAAACTCTTAGGACAAAGGTCATGACATTTTGTTGCCTGGCTCCAGAATGAAAGAGTCTTTTATTCTGTGTCCTCTATTTATACTGGGTCAGAGCACTTCACTTTGAAATGAATTCGGGTGTAGTTTTTAAATAAAAGAGGACAGAAAGAAAACAACCACTCCAAATATTTTTTTAAATTGTTAAACACTACTTTTGAAAAAAATCTGAGTTTTTGCGTGTTAGTGGCAAAGCTATCCCGAATGCTCAGAATTCAAGTGAAGGGTAATGGTTCCAAAAGTGATTACACTGCATCTCGATAGGAACGATTTCTTTTGAGGAACTGGCCTTGAAATGATTCAAGACACTTCTAACTCACCGGAATTCTAATTTGAACAGCTCCCTCGATCTCAGTCCATTTCCTGAGCGATGTTCCATTTTTATACTTATCTCCGCTATCCCATTTTTCTGTCATGTGTTCACATGACTTTCATATTCCAGGAAGTAAAACAGAAGCTGCTCTACACCCTAAGTGGATATAGCTATCTGCCTATGGCAGACCAGTGGAGAACCAAGAAGAGGGCCAAGGCCTCTGGCGCCTCCCTCTCTGTGCTCCCGCGGCTCCAGGGCTGAGGGCCTCACTGGCCTCCGGCAGCTCTCAGCAAGTGGGCTTCATGGCCACAGGTGCTCCTGCAGAATGAGGCCTTGCGGCAGTGTGCTTCTTACTTCCCGGATAAACAAAAACGTTGCGCTCAAGCGACCCCTTCTCAGAAATGCCAAGGATGTTAGACAATTGCAGACAGCCTGTGCTCCCTTCTGTGGGAAGGTAGCAAGGGAAGTGCTGTTTGTTCCACACAGTAAGACACATTCGTTCATTCCCAGATACTAGTAAACCTCATAAACCTCATGTGTGTCTAGGAGTGAGTGTGTGTGTGTGTGTGTGTGTGTGTGTGTGTGTGTGAGAACTCAAATTACGTCACACTTTTGTAACGCTTAGCGTTTCTTTATATTCGGTATGTAGGATCCTCAGGAGAAGGACAGACCTGCCCTCCTCGACTTCAGAGCGTTCTTGGCAGTACCAGTGGGGGCTGAAGCACAATGCACACCCAGAGCAGACGGGGCCAGGAGAGGTTTCAAGCTGCAGAAGTTGGGACAGAACCCGCCGCCACCCAGAGCCGGGACATTGAGAAAACAGCGCCCACAGCTACGTCCATCCCAAGGACAGAGGAAGCGGAGTGGGGAGCAGGTAGAGCCCCTCGTGCAGGCACCGTGAGAGGGGGCAGATGTGCGGGGAGGGGCCTGGCGTGCGGGAAGGGGTGTCCCTGCCCCTCTGGGTCCAGAGCAGGGGAAGCCACAGAGGACTTCCAGGGAGAAATTGATGCCACCTGCCTGTGTCACAGACAGTGGTTCTGAGGGAGCTCAGACCCTGAGAGGCAGATAATCCAGGGATGCGAAGGCCTCTAGGAGGCTGTTGTAATATCCAGATGAGACAGGCAGGGCAGCTGACTGAGGCCAAGACAGAGGCACCACAGACTGGGCTGAGCTTGGAACTCCAGAAATACACTGAAGCCCAGTGGACAAAAAATTTAATTTTAAGGTTTATGAACCTCATTCTTGGCTGTGAAGTGGGTACAATTACACCTGATTTAAATGATTATAAACAGGATGCAATGAGATACTTGCACTCTCAGATCCGTCTTTGTTTTTATGTCTTATATTTTTGAGACAGGGTCTCTCTACGTAGCTAGGCTGGTCCTGAACTCACTATGGAGCCCAGGCTGGCCTTGAATTCACAGCAATCCTCCTGCCTCAGCCTCCCCGGTGCTGAGATTACAGGCATGCACCACCATGCCCAGCTCCTTCAGATCTTTTGTTAAATGTTACCTTATCAGAGATAGTATCTTACATCTTTTGTCCCTCTTATCCTATGTTATTTTCTTCATAGGATTTATGACTACATGATAAATCACTTATTATGTACTGCTTGTCTCTCTTCACTAAAATATAAGGGAGAAATTCCAGGAGAATCCTTTGTCTCGTTCAATATAGCATCCTTAGAACCTACAAGAGTGTCTAGGACACAGCAGCACATTATAAATACTTTTGTGCGAATGACTAATGTAAAATGACAGACACCTGAGTGTCGTCAGTCTGTCTGTCATCTCCGTGTATCTATCCATCCATCTGCCTGATCAAAGGGGTTCCAGTCGTAGTGATAATACACTGACACTCAGGGCAATAATTCCTTTACTACCATTCAAGCACCGTATAAGTGACTTTCATAGCTTCCTTATTTTCCTCAGAATGTCATGAAATAAGCAATATTACTCATTCCTTTTGGTGATTAATAGATAACTGACCGCTGGTTGATGAGAGGAAGAGAAGAGAATCCTATGACTCACAGTTTCTGGCTGAGGCATTTCATAGATGGATCAGCCATTACTGAGATAAGGGCACAAAAGACAGAAACTGTCCAGCAGGAAGAGATAGCAGCTACCTTTGTACATACCGACTTGGGAGGACCTGTGGGATAACCGTGGGGATTTCTGGCAGGCCATTAGGAGCCTGCACCTTGGCACTGCAGACTTATCTTGGCAGGAGATAAAAATAGTGAGTCATTAGCATACGGGTAGAAATAGATGCCGTGGAAGAGACTGGCCGAAGAATGTGAAATTGGGTTGAGGTAGAGGAGAGACTGCAGGGATTGCCACGTAAGGACTGAGGGTGAGGGCCACACCCGAGAGCACCGAGGAGAAGGAGAAGGGACGGAGAAGGGAGGGTGGTCTCCGGAGAAGGGAGCGTAGTCTTGTGTCCTTCTGGGAAGGCAGAGGGCCCTGGGAGTCCATGTGTTTCTAGGAAGTTTCTAGAAGCAAAGGACGTGAACTGTGAAGCCGGGGAGGGATGACCCAAGAGGTGGCAAAGAAGCTGGCCAGTTAGTCCCCCATGCAGCTGCCTGACTTGCCGCCCTCATGGTCTCTGCTTGCCTGCCTCGAAGCCCTGCAGGAGCCTTTGGTGCACATGCTCTCAGTAGAAAGCCGCAACTAGATGTGCAGACGTCTTAGGGAGGGACGTCCCGGTGAGAGCAGGACAGTGGGACTTGTTCTAAGAAGAGGGCACCTCCCAGGGCTGGAGGTGTGGCTTCAGCGAAGTGGTAGAGTGCTTGCCTGGCATTGCTGAGGTTCTGGGATCCATCCCCAGCACTATAAGAAAGAGTCACTATTTCCCACACACTCGCTTTAGTTAACTTCAGAAATGTTAAGGAAAATGTCTGATAGATGAGAGATGACAGGTAGTTAGATAGATAGATAGATACATATCCATAATTTCAGATGAAGGAGGATAGTAATGGTGGACATGTGCTCCCCCATCCAGGTACTGGAGCACCCGTTCTGCTCCCATCAGATAGACTTTGTTGAGATGAGATGCCACCATTAAATTTCAAAACTTTACATTTAGTTAATCCAAAGAAAGACTGAGTTTCAGTTTACAGCATGGGAAGACTAGAACAAGGCCAACCAAGGATAAAAATGGCACATTTTCCTCAGCAGTCTTCTTCAAAGGGGGCCCTTCACAGAATGACACTGCTGAGACAAGAACCAGAGCAGAGAGCTTATCAAAGCAGGACAACTAGCTCCTACTCTTGGCCCTGCCAAATCATCCACGTGAACTTTTCAGGGTTCAGTACGCTCTCAAAAGTTCTTTTGCTATAAATATTATAGGACAGTTGCACTAAAATAGAAGTTTCTTGAGAACACAGATTGTCCCTATTTTTTGCATTTTTAAAAAAACTTTACATTGCGGTGTTACATACAGGAAAGTGCCCAAACCCTAAATGTACAGCAAATGAATTTTTGCCAAGTGAACATCTCTGTGTATCATTATTACCAATTAGCTCCAAACAGAACATCATCAAGCTTGCTCCATTAGTCTTCAGCCTACAGGGTTGTTCACTAAATAGTTTCCTTAGCCTGTGAGATCCAACTATGTCTTGTTATTCCATTCCTGGGGAGAATTTGTGCTGAATAACTTACTCCACTTTCTATGACCTTAAAATCCATAGAAATGTTGTAAGAATAATGAACAAATATCTAAGTCAACAATGATGCTAATTTACCAAGATGATGAAGGAAAAAGAAGTCTAACTTCCCTTGTTAGAGTACATTTTGATTGCTCTTCTTCTGAAAGCCTGATGGGGCCGGGGGTGTAACCCGAAATGGATCCCAGAGTTTCCACACTGAGCTGCATACCAGCCATTTTCATTTTTATTTTGAGACGGGGTCTTCCTCAGTTGCCCAGGCTGGGACTGAACTTTCAGCCCTCCTGCCTCAGCCTCCCATAGCACTGGGTTTGCAGGTATGTGCCAGCATGCCACACTGGCCTGAGCCTCGTTCCTTGGTCACTATGTGGTGAGAGAAGAAAGCTATCTACACCTCGGTGTCTTTATCTTTGATCTTTGTGCGAAGGAAAATGTACAAGTCACCTCACTCTGGAGCACCGACAATATTGCCTTTCCTAAAGTAGTTTCCATTAGATTGTAATGTCTGAGGTCCAGATTCTAGGCTCGGTTCTGATGTGAGCTGCCAGACAAGAAAGGCTTCGGCAGAAGCTGACCAGATGGCCCATCTGTGAGAGTACAGAGCTGAACAGTTGCTGAAATTCAGTCCTGCTCTAGAGTCATAGCCACACACACACCTTTCCAGGACGACCGGCTGTATGGGGTGGGTACAAATAAAGAAGGACCCACGCAGTGAGCTGTTGGCGTTAGTCCGCAGCAGTCTGAATTGGCCAATGGAGCCAGCAGGGAGTAACACTTAACTGGAGTGTGAACTGCTGCTTTGCAAAAGAGCAATTCAAAGATGAAGGGGTGGGGTGCAGTGGAGTCGCGGGCAGAGCAGTCCCCACCCCCTGGCTCTAGAGGCAGCTTTGAGGGGTAACCCAGACACTGCTCCAGGCCACCAGCCTCCCTCGCACTCCTTTGCCCCAGCAGTTTTCACTGCCAAGAGCAACACCAGCTTGCGGGAGGGACTGAACTAGAACACAGCCCCGACTCTGTTCTGACCACCTCCATTGCAGTGAGATTCCTGGTGAGATCCCGGAGCTCTCGGCCTCGCGGGGAGCCCTGCCACCCAGCATGCAGAAAGACGAGTTCACTGCAAACGCAGAACAGGGGTGAGGACAACAGTAAGAGGTTCTTGGTGTGAAACGCACAGTTCTGTGGTTTCAGTGTTTTCTTTAACAAAACACACACTTAGTGCAGTGGAGCCCTGGTAGTCTTTGTAACTTTGTGTCTATGGCTTCTATTTTCATCAGGAGATTACAGCATCGCCCCGCTCCCTCGCCGCCGTGATTCCTTTGCCCTTTCAATTACTGACATCCTGCCGGCAAAGAAGCACCCACTTGGTTTCTCTCTTCCAAGTTGCAGGTTCCTTTTTTCTTGCCCACTTGATGTTACCCTGCTCAACCGTTCCAGAAACGAGGGTGGGACGAGGCACCTTGACGGAGGAAGGACAGGTTTTAATTGCGGCCTTGTGCACAGGTCCAGAAAGGAGCCCAGATAAAACCTGTTACATTGCCCGAGGACCTCTGGGGGAAGAAGCCTCATTCCCAGCACAAGAACTTGACTCTGAGCTGCGATTACCTTGCACGCTGATGGTTTAAGATCCAAAATTTCAAAATCTAATTTCAGCCGCATTAGTGACAACTTGCCAGGAGAAAGTCTCTCTCCTTAGAGACATGGGTAGGAGACAGGGTTCTCCCTTTTGGAAATACAAGTTTTATGCATAGATTTTACTCATATAAAATGCTCGTCCAGAGTCACTGTAAACAGCACTTACCCTAGTCATTTTTCTAAATTCTAAAAATAAACATGTACAATTTAGCACCTAAAATCCACGATACCTAGCTTCCAAGCAATGGGACATAGATTTGTTGATTCTATTCGTAAGATTATTATTTTCTATCCAGTGAATGAATCTGATATTTAAAGACTAAAGAGCTACATATCCCAGAGAGCGTATTTTTTCCTACGCGGTTACTCTCCTGCAAAGTGAATTAGCACCCCCACCTTCACTCAAGAGTCTAGGAGAGTTTGAGCTTTGCCTTTCTGTTCATTTTCTGGAGGAAGAGGGCAGCTTTACCGAACTGCGAGAGTTGATGGGGAAAACAAACCAGGTGCAAAAATCCCGATCTTCCCGAGGTTCTGTGAAACATCAGGCACAGAGCCACAGCCTCGGGATTTTGGGCCTTTGGATTTCCATGCTCTTTCACCTCAACGGGAGCCAGGGCAAAAGCACGTAGTGTGGGTCCAAAAGGCTGTGAGGCAGCGGCAGTGCAGGGTTCAGCTTCTCACATCTCCCGGGGTTTGTCGGGCTTCACCACGATTTGTATTTGGAAGGAAATTTCTGCAAATAGTTAAGAGTAAAGAGTTAAGGTCTCGTATCCAAACCATGTGGGAAATGGTATTGAGCAAGTAAAGCGGTTCTCAAAAGGAAGTCTTACATTGCACGGGGAACTTAGGAGAGCTCTGGAATTTTGCCTGTTCATGAGCAGAACGGAGTGACGAAAGTCCCTTTTTGTAAGACTTGTTTTTAAGCTGTCCCTAGCTAGAAATCCCCACATACCTACTACTCTCTTCGTAAATAAAATCTGAGTCTATTTTCAATCTATCTTCTGCCGAGGCCTGGAACTCCCAGAGGCCATAGAGCGGCATCCCCTGTATTTCCTCCGTAAACACAGCGTCACTGCTTATTTCAGAATACTTCCTGCGTGAATCAGAGCGTTTTACCGTGTGATCACTTGTTATAAGAGTTGCGTTCTATTTCTTTCTCTCTCTCCTAAACTGCATGGTTCAAATAGGACATCTCTCAAGCTCGCATGATGCAGGCTACTTTCTGGCTAGAGAGAAATTTGTATTTTAGGAATGCTCTGCTAGATTTCCTTGTAATGATAGCAAACAGTTCTTGTCCCCTGAGCTTTTTGGAAGATACAAGTCTTTTGTCGGTACTGCAGCCCCTCGTTCAGTCTGGTCCCTCGTACACGTGTGGCTGGCTGGAGGTGGTCATATACAACTCCAAGAGTTCAAGCCCCATCCAGCTTATCCCAACCACGTGATCACAAAAGAATCCCTTTGCGTGTGATAAAGTAAGACTAAGTTGATCTTTAACCTAACAAAAAGACCAAGTCCAACTGTTGTGGAAAGTATTAACAAATAGCATTATCAACTGAAACTGAGGCAGATACCTTGGGCCCCGTGGGTCCCAGCAGGTCCTGTGGCCCTGACTAGTCTTTCATCCACTCCAGTCCTCCCTTTGGGTTCAAATGGCCCCTTCTGAGCACAGCAGTTAAGGACAGATATCTCCACAAGTACTTTGTTTTAAGTACTCTGGCATAGCAAACTGGTATTTTGTTCGGATTCTCATAACAAAACGGCATGGGCCAAGTGACTTGTAAACAGCAGAACTTTCTCATTGTTCTGAAGACTAGAAGTTCAGGATCAAGGTGCCAGTTTGGTCGATTACTGGTAAGGGCTCTCTTTTTAGACTGCAGGGGCCTTGTGTATTCTCACATGGTGGAAAGACAGCAATGACCCGGGTCACTAACCCCAGGCCTCTGTCACCTCCCAACAACGGTACGTTGCGGGGTTAGGATTTTAACAGGTGAACTTGGGGAGACACAAATATTCCATCCATAACGATGTCTGACTCAAGATTGTCTCATCATTAGAGGTTGTGTAGATCCGGTGACAATGACAGATCTGAAAGTATGTGTGTGATCCCAGCCAAGCCACGCAAGAATTTTTCACACTGAAGCTGGGAGGAAGAAACTCTCCCCAGGAAGAATGTGAGTTTAGAAATGGAGTAGTCACAGAGACAAGAGGAAGAAAAAGTCCCAAGGCCACCTGAGTCCTGGTTCCTGAGTGTCGCGGTCCCTGCAGTCATCTTGTACCCAACTTCCTGAGCAGTCTTTCAACCCTTCCCTGTAGTCAGTCACCTTTCCGTGTGAATTCATTCAAACAGGGGTCCTGCTGTGTCTTTTTGAGAAAATGCAGAGTGGGACTCATATCCAAAAAAATAAAAAAGCCTTTTACCGACTAGTAAGCATCATTCTATACAAATATCTACAGAGTCTTAGAGTATTTCTCCACTACGAAACACCCACATTGCTCAAATCTTCTGTCCCAAACACTGCTGCGATAAGCATCCTTGTTCCAGAAATACCATGCACATCTCTGACTATTTCACTAGGCTGTTTCTAAAACCAAGAGCACTTTGATTTTGATGCGTTCTCACCAGATTTCTCTATAAAACAGTTGTGCTTGACGTGATGTGTATTTCCAACGACAGTTTGTGAAAGTGCTTGTTTCTTCACACCCACCACAGTCAGAAATCGCTTTATTTCTTTAATCTGTTTCTTTGTTTTACAGGCAAAGGGCCAACTCTTCACACACTTCTTGGGAAGACAGATCATTCTTACAAAGAAGCGCTAAGCCTCCACCCAGTTCTAGAGCGTCAGACTAGAGGCCCTCTTTGTCTCTCTGCTGACAGCCTTCACTGCTGCCTGACTCACTCTCCCAAAGCAATAGCAGGGTTTCCTGCCATCAGGGAGACATCACAACATCACAATGACTAATTTTGATCCAAAATACCTTCTTCACTCTGAGGGAGGGGAAGAGGTCATCACCACGTGGGCATGCCAAGAGATGAACGCAGCTACAGGAGTGGATTTGCTTTGCTCTCTTTGGCCTTGATATGTTAGGGGTAGAGATTGCAGCGGATAGGAAAGCCCTTTAACCAACTCCAAGGAGATGACTTTTTGACTCACAGAGCTCCTGATCCCCACCCACCCACCCCATGCAGTAGCTTGCCCTTGGACGAGGGGCTGGAATGACTTGGACTTCGCAGAACACTCTTTAGTGCTCTCCCTTTTTGGATGAGTTTTCAATGCTAGGCTACCCCATGCCGCAGGTGACAATGTGAGTGACTCTTTCTGACCTTCCGCGACCATGGTTTCAAAGGGAGCAGCTTTGCTCTAGGCTCTTCTCTCTCCTTCTACTGGGAACAGACTAAAACTAGTTGTCGGTGTCAAAAGTCCGAGCCGGAGAATGCTGGGATTCTTGTGAGGACGTTCTGGACAAAGACAGAACCTCTCATGTGAACTCCACAGCCCCTTATGTGGACCACTGCCCCCTACATGCCCACTATTTTTTGTGGTACTAGGTATTGAACCTTCACATCCTCAGCCCTTTATTTTTTGTTTTGAGATAGGATCTCACTAAGTCACTAAGTTACTTCGGCTGGGCTGGAACTTGCAACCCTCCTGCCTCAGCCTCCCAGAGAGCTGACATTACAAGTGTGTGCCACCTGCCTAGCTCTGAGCCCTATTTCCTCTACCAAAAGCTATTTGTGGTCTAGGAATATAGCTCAGTGGCGCCACACCTGCCTGATAAGTGCAAGGTCCTGAGTTCGATTCCTGGAACCCCCCCCAAAAAAAAACCCTGCACATAGGATGGCTGAGGGTGTAGCTTAAGCTGGAGACTTCAAGCTGCATCAGCACAGGAAAAGAAAAGAAGGACTATTTTTATTTTTAGATGAAATATATGTTCCATAACTTCTGGTGGCCTGAAAATTATTATGTGAAAGAAATTTTAATATGCTAGGGTTCATAATATCATTATTTTGTAATGGATTAAAATGGCAATGTCATATTAATTTGCATGTTTAACCGTATCATTATATATAAGTACAGATATAAGATATAACTATTATAGACATATATAATATATATTATTATTTTGCTTCTCTTCCAGTACCACCCGTATCCTCTGGCTCAAACGTAGGAAGCTAGAAACTCCTTTATTCCCCTGAAGAAGAACATGCAGACATTTCCCTAAAAAAAGACATCAAAGCAGAACCACTTGTCGGATACAGGTTTCTAATGTGTAAATGTGAAGCCAGGACAAATTTGCCTATGCCTGGGTTTTCACGAGAGCACTGACTCAGCTGGGTGGATCCAGCTTTCTGACTGTCAGAGGTGCAGGCCGAGCCCTCACCATGAACCACTAGGCCAGGGGTTGGTGAACCAGGGCTCGCGTGCAGCTGCGGGCCGCTTGTACCCTTGGAAGCTCTGAAAAGTTCGTCATCCCCTCTCTAGGTACTTCCCCTTCTGGTGCGGAAACTTGACCTGGTCCCTCGGCTGTCACCCACTGCTGGGCCGAGGCCAGAGTCGGTCACTTCATTTCCCTATGGCCAGAGCCAGGGTGCGCCCAGCTCAGAAGTGTCCTTTGCCCCAGACACACAGTCTGGCTGATAGCATGGCCTGGACTTGAACCCCAAACTTTCAATCTCCAAAGCCAAAGTCTGGACCCCATACTATGCCCCTCCCAGGAGCTGGTGCTTCTCAGACTTGCCGACACTGAAACTTTTGAAGGGATCACTTTCATAGAACCTCCAAAGGGGTTGGTGTCTGAGTAGGACCCGGTAGGACCTGGGCACAGGCCCGGACTCATCCTTGCCCAGCTTGGCCTGCGGTGCTTTTCCTGACCCAGGGCAGTGCAGAGTCAGAAAGAGGCCACTTCCCACCACAGAGACAGGCTCCTAAAATGTACCAATAAACTCAAATAAAAAATAAAGAAAAAATTCCAGCATGGTATTCATCACCGGAAAGTTTAGGTTAGCTATTACTATTATTATTGTAAACTAATGAAACTTAATTTTTCTAATTATTAATGTATATGGGTATTTAGTAAACCATGTGTCCATTGAAAACATTTTTTTAATTTAATCTTGTAAACTTTCCTTCTGAATTATGTTGGCTTTCAGGTGAATTTTCTTTCTCAAAAGTCTAGTATTATGGAGCATGGTTAAATTCTGAGCACATAATAATCTGTCTCCGTGAAACATATCTGACTGAAAGAAAAACGACGTGAGGATGTGTCGATGTTGGTTCCTTTGTGCGGCGGGAGGTGCTGTAACACTGTAAGATGTGTAAACCACAGCGAGAACTGGCTGACCGGTGTGCGGCAACTCTGCACTAACATCGAGACTTTTCCTACATTGAAAATCATGAAGTGTGAAAAGAGCAAAATGTAAAAGGTACAGCGTGGTTAAATTAAAGATCAGTACAGCAAAAGACACGTGGTCCCTCACCGCGCTTCCAAATACCGCGCCTCACTGAAGCACACTCACCCCACCCTCCCGCCACTTCCCGCGGCAGCTCTGGGGTCCTCTTTCCTGAGGGTCTTTACTTGTGCTGCCCTGGCTGCCTCGATGTCCTGCGGGATTCAAAACATTTACCTTGCATTTTAGCTTTGGGGAGGAGCCAGAAGACACGTAGGACCAGGCCCTGTGAACAAGATGGAAGAGGCTTTTGTGAGCCTGCTTTTCTTTTGGCTGGCACATGGCACTCGCCGTATTTTTATCATACTCCATGAAGACATAGAAGAGGACGTCCAGAACCGCTTCCCAAAGTGGCAAGAGCGATGCGATGTGTTCGAAATGCGGCAACGTGTATTTTACTGTAACTACTTTTAAATTGTTTAAAACATTTACCATATGTTTGATCACCTCCTACATTGTAAAATTAAGTTTGTTTTAAAATGCTATTTAAATAGTAAGAGAGGTGTCTTTTATATGTGATTATTTTTTCTGATACTGTTTATTCCTATGTGCCTGTTCAAATTTCCTTCTGATAAGCTTTTTCTCCTGCCCAAGGTTACTTCCTATAGCATTTTTTATAGTGCAGATTTACTGGTGATAAATCATTTCAGCTTTTGCTAGAATATTCTTCATTTCACTTTCAGTTTTGAACAGTATTTTTGCTGCATGTACTCTTTAAATCATCAGGTCTTTTGTTACTATTTTAAATGTGTTGGTCCACTCCTTTCTGTCTTGCTTTGTTTTAGCCAGAAATCTCCTGATTTTTGTGCATTGGTATACTTTTCTTCTTCCCACTTGTACTTGGGTTCCATTCAGCTTCTTGGATTTGTGGGTTTATACTGTTCATCAAATTTAGAAATTAAAAAAAATTTAGAAATTTTTCAGCTATTCTTTCTTCTGACAGCTTGCTCTCCTGCTTTCCTTTTTCAGGACTTCTGATTCCATATTTATAAGCCATATTGGAGTAATCCCACTGCTCCCTGATGATCTTTTATTTTTTTAATCATTTTTTCCATGTTATAAGCTTTCTCTTCCAGTTCACGAAATCATTTATTGTCCAATATCTGGTCTGCCATTAACCCTATCCCACTGGGTAGATTTTCTTGTACTGCATGAGCACTGACCACACGCTTACTACTTAAAACAACAAGCTTTTATTTTGCTTTCCCTGGTCAGGATGTGGGCATAGCGGAGCTTGGGGCCTCAGCGGGTGATATCTCAAGGCTGAAAGTCAGCTGGGTCTATCCAAGGGAGCTTTCTTAGTTCAGGAAAATAGCCACATCCGGGTCCCCGTGGCTGGGAGAACTCGCGCTCTCCAGGTGGTGTGGCGGAGGCGCGTGGCTCTCCCACTGTGTGGCTGTGTGAACACCCAGGATGCAATTCGAATAACCGTTTTCATGTCTAGCGTCTGGGTGGGTTCCGGGTCAGTTCTGATGGGCCCATTCCGCTCCTCATTTCCCTCGCTCTCCGCGTGCCTTTCACCGGATGTCAAACTGAATTGTGCCTTACTGTGGAGTGGGTTTTTAAAATCAAAATCCCACCCAACATAAAATTTACTATTTTAGTATTTTTCACAATACAAATTAGTAGTGTTACATATATTTATGTTATGTCTATAACTTTTTTACCTTGCAAAATTGAAATCCGGTATCCATTAAACAACTCCCATTTTCCTCCCTCCCTAGTCCCTGGAAACTACCGTTGTACTTTTTGTTTCTATTCACTTATCTACTTTAGACATAGCATAAATGTGAAATCATATAGTATTATCATTTTATGACTGGCTTATTTCACTAAACATAATGTCTTTGGTCTATGCTGTAACATACGAAAATGCGTCCTTCCTTTTACGTGGGACAATATTCCACTGTATTATGGGCCTCACTGTGGAAGTAGGACTGCTAGATGGCGTGAAATTCTATTTTTAATCATTTTAGGGCCCTCCAGAGGCTGTACCACTGTACATCCCCCCATAAAGCAGCTTCTCCACACACTGACGATTTGCAGGATTTGGTACTTGTGCTTTACGTAGCCGTCCTACTGGGTGCACAGTGCCATCTCGCTTTGATTTCGATTTGCCTCTAATTAGTGATGTTAAGCTAGTTTCACGTGCTTGTCGACAGCTATGCACCTTTTTGTCTCTGTAACTTTCCTTGAGGCTTGTTTGGATGCAGTTAAGTGTCTTGGAGCAGCTGACTCCTTCCAGATATGTTTTCATGATCTGTTTGTAGGTCCAGAGCGCGTGCTCACTTTGGGGCCAGTTCTCCTTCGTCCCCAAAGCCAGCCCTTCCGGGAACTCGGTGCCCTGCATCGGGAGATTTTTTATTCTGACCTGGGGAGAGGCACTCGTCTGGTCTTGTTTATGTCAAGCCCTGTTCTCTCCTTGGCCTCAGGGAAGTGCCTCATAAACACCTCCCGTTGCTGAGTGCCCTGCTGAGTCCTCTTTGCATTCACTTCTCTTCGGTGATACTCGTCCTGAGAACTACGTTCTCCTAGGCCTTCCTGGACTCTCAGATCTGTCTCCTCCGCTCCAAGAGTCTGCTCAGCCCAGTCTGGGTCCTCCCCAGTGTGTGGCCTGAGAACTCTCCTGAAACAATCCCTGCAGTAATCATAAGGCCACTTTGTCCCCGTTTTGTTGTCTGACATCCGGAGTCTTGAAACTGTCGTCTCACACATTTTGTCTCTA